TAATTCGAGAAAAATGAAAGTGCATTAAATTTAAAAAATGAAAATTGTAAATGATAATGAAAGTGGTAAATGAAGAGGCAATGAATGAAAATTGTAAATGATAAAAATAATTGATTAATGAATGTGGCTGATGAAGATGCAAAGTTAACTTAACATGAAAAACTAAAGGTCTAAATATTATATAAAATGCTACCCTATGCATTTAATAGGATATGCATTTAACTAATTCCAAAAAAAATAAGTGCATGAAATTTAAAAAATGAAATTTGTAAATGATAATAAAAGTGGTAGATGAAGAGACAAATGAATAAAAATTGTAAATGATAAAAATAATTGATAAATGAATGTGGTAGACGAAGAGATAAAGTTAGCTTAACATGAAAGACTAAAGGTCTAAATCTATATATATAGATATATTTAATATATATTTAATATATAATAATATATATTTATTATATATTCATTATTATATAATAATAACATGCGGTTACAATTTTTTCCAACATTTTTGTTTTCTTTTTCATTATGTACAATACCCTTTCATCTTCCTACTCACCTATATATAAACCCTCACTTTTCTCTACACCAATATATTATATTCTTCTCTTTATCTCTTCAATTTCATTTTATTAATATGGTGAGTTCCAATTTTATCTTTTCATATTCTTTGTCTTTTACTTCTTATCTTTATATTCTTAATTATTTTATCATTATTAGTTTTCATTATATACATATAATGCGTTAAAATGAAGGAATATATAAGTATTGTTTAAATTATTTCAATGTTCAAAATGGAAAGAACATCGCCGGCAATGGAAAGAACAGAAGCAGTGATTAATCAGTAAAGAAGCAATTCTTAGTGGGTTTTCATTTATTTGGCTAGAAAGGTGTTTGGATGCTGAGAAAATGTTTTCTGTTTGAACATGGCAAAACGTTTTGTCCATGTCATTACTTTTTTAAATTTTACGCTCCACATCATCAAAAAAAATAGAAAAAATGCCACATGTGTGGAGTTAACGGCCGAAATTAATAGAAGGACTAACGGTGTGCATTTGTTAGAGTTGAAGGATTAAAAAAGTACAAAAAATTGTTGAGGGATAAAAAATGTGCATTTCTTAAAGTTGAGGGACCAAATTTAGCATTTAACCTATTCTCTTCTTCATCTCTTCAATTTCATTTTATTAATATGGTGAGTTCCAATTTTTTTCTTTTTT